CGAAGAGTTGCACGCGAACGAACGAGAACATCCTCCCTGAAACCTTTTTGTTTTGCTACCAGAAATTAAACTAATTATTACAACACCAAATAAATGAATTAATGATAAATTAACTAGCTATTACAAGTTTGAATGAAGCTACTAACTAAGTGTAACATATTACTATTAAAGCATTAATTTAAAGGACTACGGGGATCGAAGAGTTGCACGCGCACGAATGAGAACATCCTCCCTGAAACCTTTTTGTTTTGCTACCAGAAACTGTTCTGCATACAGTCAGAAGATTAATCTATTTTTGCCCCAACTTCTGCTTTGTTCTGCCAAAAAAATACCACTTCTTGTACAAAAAGGTGGCCAGCCGGCCTTGAGAAGTGGTCGGCCAAACTGAAAAGTGGCCGGCCGGCCATTGTTTTTGGGTTCTGCCCTGCTGCTACAGAATTGAAACAGAGTAAAAACAGAGTGTTTCCGAGGGATGTTTATCCTTTCTGTCTCTCCCTATCACGAAACTGATCAAGAAAGAAGTAGACTCAATTCACAAACCATCAATTGTCGCAAAGTTGTTCCTTGATGATCTTTGAAGCAATAGGACAAAGCTCAATAAATGGAAATAAAAGACCAATAACACCTCCTCCCTGCCATAGAGTTACCTCAAGGGAAGGGGTGGACATTGCTTCTTGAATCACTAAACATCACTACAAAGTATGTAATGATTCAAGATGCAATAGGCTCAATATAACATTCGATTGAACCCACCTCAATTTTACTACCTTTTCTTACCTCTTTTTTACTTCAATTTTATTAGCCTATTTTACATTACCTTTCCATTTCTTAATCATTTTGGTCCAAAAGTGATAATTACGTCCACTAAGTCCAAAAGCAATAAAGAGTATCAAGCATTGACTAAGCCCGAGAAATGAGCCTTTCAAGCCCTTTTCTTCGGGGGAAATTACAAAGGAGGAATCAAACTCATTTACGAGTGGTAAGGGATTTGAAGTCAAACCCGAAAAAGGGAGATAATGACTCTAAATCCAAACCCGATAATAAGCTATAATGAAACCTTTCTTTATGATTTCCTAGAGTCTAACTAAAAAGATAGTCCCTTAGAAGTAAGGCACCGGCAATAAAGAGAAGTGTTTAAACAAGGGATTGTGCTTAGCATGAGAGAGCTGTAATGCTTTGGTAATGAACCTCCAAAGAGATTAAACCATTAAGCATGGAAAGTCTCTTTCTTATGCTTGAACAACAATCTTTTATTAAATACAACTCTTTAATAAAAAATGAACAAAGAATGGAGGGAGGTTGCAAAGATGATTATGCAAAGGTGATTACAATAATATGAACATGAAAACTATGTAAAGAGAGCTATCAACTCAAATATATTGGTGTCTATTGTCTAAACAAACAAATCTATGAGGACTTACAACAACACAAGCATAGTATTCAAAGCATAAATTAAATAAACCATTAAAACAGCCCCCAAAAACTAAAAAACAATGCTGAAAATTAGTTTGAAAAGCTAGAAAAAGTAAGTAAAATAAGAAGAGAACAAAGCTAGTAAGCAAGCCTAAGGAGGGCTGGCTAACCCCTCCACTTTTTTGACCTTAAAATCATATATTTTAGCCTCTGAAAACTCTGAAAATCAGTAGCTAAAAGTTGAGAAACAAGTGGGGAAAAACAAGGATATAAGTTATGGAATAAGGTTCAAAAAAGAATGGTTAACCCCTCCACCTTTGGTAGCTTTTAAATCATAAGTTTCAGCCCTTAAAACCAGTCCAAAACAATATGAAAAGTGAAGAAAAGAGTAGGTTAAATAAGGGAGAAAATGACTACAGTTGTACCTCTTGAAAAGAGGATGTTCTTTTGTTCACAAACCACAAAGTGTTCACTCTCAGGAGCTAAAATTTTGGGTCAATAATCTCAACAAGAAGCCTCAAAATTTTGGTTTAAGAAGTGTATGTATAGTGTAAGTATATTGCAAGATAGAGAGGGAGAGTGTTTGGCAAGCCTTTAGCTCTTGGCAAAATTTTCTAACCTAAAATCAAGAGCGGTGGTCAAGTATTTATAGAAGAAAGCCTTCTCTTGTCGGAAATATCTGTATTGAGCCAGCTGGAGTAAAGCATGCACATAGGGACACAGCTGGTTGTAAAATATCTGTTTGCCTCTTCATGGCCGGCCGGCCATGAAGAGGGACAGCCGGCCAATCAAAAATGGCATGCACACTAATTGGCCAGCCTGCTCATTTAATTGGCCGGCCAACCATTAATTGGTCGGCCAACCAATTGTTTTTGGCCCCGCTGGTCATTAATTGACCCCGCTGCTCACTAAGTGTCAGGCTTAAAAACGGGTTTGGGTCCAAATTGGATGGAAGGCTTGGGTTTGAAGCTCGAAACCGAATTCTTTTGCTAAAGATTTCAACAATTGTACAGTATATCAATTCATCATTAAGTGGTCACCATAAGGTGTCCAAGTCTTAAGGGCAGTCAAAATGGGGTATCTACACGTTACCGACGCCCAGTACACCCCAGTCTTCAAGTTGTTGCACACTCCACGTAGTGGGTTGCTGGCGTTAAAAGAAGGCGATGTCAAAGGGTGTGTCAGATGCAATTTGTTTGTCTGCCTAGATAGCAGTTGGCACATCCCTACCTCCTAAGTTGGCATTACAAAGGCATTTTGGTGCTCGGCAAGATGATGAAGTCATAATTGCACAAAATAATACAACCACACAACCAAAAACGTGGAACTATTATATCACAACTCATCAAAAATCACATGCATGCGCAAAATCACTCAAATCCTCATTGTCGGCACACCACCAGATTTCTTTTATTTCAAATTTTTCTCTTTTTTTTTTCTTTTTTTTTCTTTTTTGAATACTACCCTAAATTAGCTTAGACTAAATTAGCATGAGATAGGTGAGTTAAATTAGATGAGGTAAAGTAATGAACTAAAGAAAACAAAAATAAAGAAGGAAAGAAAATAAAATAAACTAAAAATAAATAAATAACTAAATAAACAAAAATAGAAAAACAAAAATATGAAATAAAAGAAATAAATAAATTAGTAGAGAAAAATAAAATAAAATAATAAAAAAAATCAAAACTAAGAACAAAATTTAAAACTAAACCACTATCCAACTGAACTAAACAATTAAAGTACAGCTAAAGAAATAAGAAACCACAAAACTAAACAATCATTTAAAAAAATAAAAAAATTAAAATAGGCAACCACAATTTTTTTTTTTTTTATTATTATATTTTTTTTTTGGGTGGGCCGCACGTGCACCGGAGATGGCTGCACGTGCGGCGATCAATTTCTACATCGAGTAGCTCTTTTTTGTGTTAATTACAAATACACCCCCTAAGATTTGATTAAAATACGAATCGCCCCCTGTGGTTTTGAAAATTACATTCCACCCCTGAGGTTTCTAATTTCCATTTTATCAATAAATCATCAAGTCAATTAACAGTTTTTAAAGATGTTAAAAATATGTTTCAATTAATGATTTAGGTAATTTTATTATTATATAGGAGAGCAATTATGAATTTCATTTTTTTTAGTTAATTCTATTAAATAAAAAATTCTAATAAGGGGGTATTTGTAATTTTTCAAACCACAGGGGATAACCTGTATTTTAAGCAAATCTTAGGGGGTGTATTGGTAATATACCATTATATATATATATATATATATTTCTTGTTTTGATGATGAACAACAATCAAAACTATATTACACTACCAATGAGCTATACTACAAGTAAAGATGGAGAAACCTAAACAAAAAACAAAGGTGGTTACCATGAAAAAAATGATGAAGCAGAAAAGATTGGAGATCTGCCAGAAAAAATGGTCGTCGGAGGGTCACCGGTCAGAGGGAAGATGGTGCGCTGGTGGTAAAGTGGTGAAAAGGTGGTAAGGAGAGGTTGGGTGAAGGTTGAAGGTTGAAGGGTTGGTAATGGTGGTGTTTGAGTGAGAGATGAGAAGAAAGAAGATGATAAGGTAGAGAGAGAGAGAGAGAGGAGAGAGAGAGAGAGGGAGAGAATGAGAGGCAGAGAGAGAAAGAATCTATGAGAGTAATGGGAGTGGGTCTAGGGTTAGATAATGAAATGATTTTTTCTTTTATTTTTAAGGAAGAGAAATAATAAAATAAATAGAATAAATAAAAAAAATTGCAATAATAAAATCTTTTTTTTTTAGGGGGCTAGCTGCACGTGCTGTGAATTATGGGCCGCTCGTATTGCAGAATTAGGACGCTCCGGCGGTGCTCAAGTAGAATGGTTTGGGGCTTGGGCTGCTCATGCACTTGGGCCCTCCTTTCGGGCCCCCCTTTTTTATTTATTTATTTTTTTTGGACAAATCGCTCGTGCACTGTGTTGGGTTGCACGTGCGGTGAATAGTGGACCGCTCCAATGGCAGAATTGGGCCACTCCAACAGCGATCCAGTAATAGCCGATTAGGGACTGGCCGCTCGTGCTGTGACGTGGGCCGCACGTGCGATCTACTCTCTTTTTTTCTTTTTTTTTTCTACAGCCATTTACTCTCCGAATTCTACTTGTACCTTTATTTCACATTCAAAATAAGAATAGCATTGTGAAAACATCTAAAAGTTCAATAAAGGTATAATCTTCACGTGACAACCACAGGTATTACTTTTCTCCCTAACCATGTTTGTAACTTTCCCTATTCTCCAACAGGGTAACAGACTAGGTCGATTCAATATCCAGAATCGAGACACCTAATGCTAACTCAACCTATGGGGCTACGATATAGAGTTCACGCCGGGGTGGTTTTGAAGCAATCTCCACACCCCTGGGCATTTAAGCCAAACTTTAGTCTCAGAAATTCCAAACCTTTGCGTTCTAGGATTTGCCATTCAAAGTCTAGTTTTCACCGTCTCAGTTAGTCTCCTTGGAACTCACTACAAATACAGTTAAGTGGCTATACCAGCCCGTCATATGTCGTTCGGGCATGACTAACACCAAAGGACTTGCACCTTTAGAGAATTTAAAGACCCCTAGACTTAAAGCAATTACGATGGAAGATATACTGGGTTGTCAAGTAGACAACCTCAATCATCTCCCTTCTTTGAATACCATCCATATAGTGTTTCAATCTTTGGCCATTGACCTTGAAGGTCGTACCATCTTTTGGATTTTTAATCTCAACCGCCATATACAGAAATACTTCGATAAGCTCATATGGGCCATCCCACCGAGACTGGAGTTTACCTAGAAACAACCGCAATTTGGCATTGAACAACCACACTTTTTGGTGAGGCTCGAAGGACTTACGAGAAATGTGTTTATCATGAAATAACTTAGTCCTAACCTTGTAAATTTTGGAGCTCTCATATGCATCATTGCAGAGCTCCTCTAACTCATTGAGTTGGAGTTTTCGATGGTCTCCGGCTTTGGCCATATCAAAATTGAACTTCTTAATGGCCCAAAAAGCCCGGTGTTCTAACTTAACCAGAAAATGGCATGCTTTTTGAAACAAAATTCTATACGAAGACATCCCAATGGGTGTCTTATATGCAATGCGATAGGCCTAAAGTGCATCAACCAACCTAGTGGACCAATCTTTCCTATCGGACCTCACAGTTTTCTCGAGGATGTGCTTGACTTCCCTATTAGAAACCTCTACTTGACCATTAGTCTAGGGGTGATAAAGAGTGCCAACTTTGTGAGTGATCATGTATTTGCGCACCAATGCCTCGAAGAATCGGTTGCAAAAATGTTTGCCACCGTCACTAATCATGCCACATCGGAACCCAAAACGACAGAAAATGGTTTCATGGAGGAATTTAACCACAACTCTGTGGTCATTCATTCTGGTGGCCACTGCCTCAACCCACTTGGAGACATAGTCCATGGCCACCAAAGTGTATTCAAATCCATAAGATGGTAGAAAGGGACCCATAAAGTCGATGCCCCAATCATCAAAAATCTCAACAATCAAAATAGGGGTCATCGGCATCATATCTCATCGTAACATAGAGCTCATTCGTTGACAATGCACACAAGCTCTACAGAAGTTACGGGCATCTTTAAAGAGAGAGGGCCAATAGAACCCACATTGTAAAACCTTGGCAACCGTTTTCTACCCACTGAAATGGCCACCACGTGTATAAGAGTGACAAAAGGTGAGAATGCTATGGGTTTCACTCTCAGGCACACAACACTGAATCACTTGATCCAGACAATACTTGAACAATTCTGAGTCTTCCCAGAAATAGTACTTGACTTGTGAGAAAAATCGTTCTTTGTCTTCCTTAGACCAAGTTTTAGGAATTTGCCCAATTGCCAAGTAATTCACTATGTGAGCAAACCACAAGGGGGTCACCTGTGACACTGCAAAAGGTTACTCATCCAGAAATGAGTCTGTAGATAGTTTCTCATGCCAAAGGTCACTTGTCCGTCATAACTAAAGTGTCTCGGCTTGAGAACTTAGGTATGAGAGGGGAAGGTCATGAATTGAGCACCCCACTCACCCGATCAAAGATCGGCCTCTGCTAATCATGATGTGATTTTTATGTACATTATATGCTCCTGTTCTAATTATTAATACTAACTTACTATGTGAGGCACACAGGCATAGACTATGTCTCCTACTTTGGAATGCTTTGATTTCATTTTTGTTTCAAAGAATTTTGAATATGTGCTACTTGGAAAGGTGAGCTCATATGTACATTAATCAAAATCATCCCAATTTAAGCGAAATAGCCTTCATTTACCTGTAGACACCCCATTTTTTATTGACCTTAAGATTCAGACGTCATTGTTTGTGCGCATGGTGATTGTGCATGTTTGCGCTCGTTTTGAGTGTCCGAAGTTCTCAGCTAAGTACCTTGTCTTTGAGCCTCTTAACACTCTGTGTTTCGGCCTTGTTTTTGGGCCAAACCTTGTGCCTCTTGCCTGGAGAGGGGGGGGAAAGGCCTTGCAGGCCACTTTTGGCACTTGCCAGCCACTTTTCTCGCTTGTTGGCCACTTGAAGTGGTCAGTCGGCTAGGGGAGGTGGCTGGCTGGCCACTTAAAGTGGCCGATGGCCAATTTTCTCCTTTTTCAGATCTTTTGAGCCAGCTGCTGAGCACTGGCGCTCACCTTCATACACGTGTATGGAGGGATTGAAGCCAAGCTTTTGACTTAACCCTCTATATGAGGGGAGGTCCCTCCCCATTTTTGAGGGTTTTGAAATTTGAGAAGTAAAAATTTTACTCTCTCTCTAGAACTCTCTCTCGCTCTTTCTCTATATTGTGCTTGAAAGTGAGCTTTCTTTGCATTTTTACACACAACCCCTTAGCCAAACACCACCACCTTGGAGCTGACGTGCTTCAAGGTCTTGTTTGGGCTCTAAAAGTTAGTTTTAGCTCAGAGTTGTCACTGTTTTGCTGCTGTGCTTCAAGGGTAAGGCTTTACCCTCTTTAAAGCTTTATTTGCTTGCTTATTTAGCCACCTTTCCATGCTATTTTTGACCTAGTTCTCAACTAATAAAAAAATCTATTTTTAAGTGTTAAAAATGGTAGTTTGAGGCATTTTTGGAGTTAGGGGTGGTCCACTCTCTTTTGTGGGTTGTTTGCTAATCTTTGTGCCATCTTTTAAAGCCTTTGAAACAATTCCTTATTGGCCTTTCTACCACTGAATTCCAAGGGAATTTCAGTGGTAGAAAGTTGGTTTTGAAGTCCCAAATAGGAGGAGGGTGGCCTCCCCTCCTTGTGTTTCGCTTGCATGTGTTGATGGCCTAATAAGTGAGCTTCTATTTCTACCTTTTTGAAGCTTAGTTCAAGCTTGTTTTTGTGACTTTTCTGACCTACTTCAACTCTATTTTTGGTTGGTTAAGTCACTTGTTGCTTGCTTCTTACACTTGTAGTGTAATCATGCTTACTAGCTTAACATGCTTAATGAGTTAGCCTATCATTGTAGCTTGTGTTAGCTCCATCTCAGCATGCTTTTGCTCATGTTTTACCATGCTCTAACTCAGCTTTGAATGGTCTTTGTCCTTTGAAGCTTGCCTTGCATAGCTATAGTGTAAATGACTTTACTAGCTTTGAGTTTTAGGGATTCTAACATGCTTTGCTTGTAATGTTTACATGATATTGTATCATTTTGCATGTGATTTCAAAACATGTAGCTTTGTCACACTCTCACATATTCCACTCTTTCATTACTTTTGAGAGGTGTTCTTTGTGCCTTGTTTGTGAGCCGATACAAGAAAATGTCTTTCTTGCTTTTCATGCTCCCATGTCAGATTGTTTTGGTCACTGTTTTAGCATGTTTGAGGTATGTCCATAGCTGGTTTGGCCATTTGAGCATTGTATTGCATGCCTCTAGTGTTGTGTCCGTCACTAGTTTCAATGTTTTTCGCTTTTAGCATGTTGTGCATGTGTTTTTTAGATGTAGTTGTATTGTTTTTCAAGCCACTTTAGCACTGAAATATCTGTCATCTCCCACATTTCTTCACTTTTGATTTGTTTTGAGAGATGGTTTACCTTGTGCTTGTGTTTAAGCTTGATAGAGTTTGTGCACAAATGGCTTTAACCCTCTTATGAGGATTCTTCCTAGCCAAAGGCATGATCTCTCTCAAGCCTTAAACCATTCTTTTGGTTAACCTCTCTCTCATTAGAGGGGTTTCACATTGGACAAATCAAGTAAAGAATGGTTTTGTACTATAAAATGAGTAAGCAAGGTGTGGCCAAGTAAAACATGAATAAGATAAGCATTTGTGTTGCATTGCATGTGTTTGGATCGGACGTTAATCCAAACACAAGAAATGTGGGACGCTTTGTACTCATAGTGATGAAACGTGTTGCATTTCTTGGTCGCTATCACCCTTTGGTCATGCATGATAGGGTGGAGGCACTTTGAGTCTTATGTGCACATTCACTGAGCTTGTACATGCTCGGTCCTTTGGCCATCATGCATTGAGAGGCTTGATTGGTGGCTTGAGAGCCGAGCGCCACACTCCTTTGAGGTTGAGACATGATGAGGAGTGTGACAGTACACACATTTCCTTGCAAATACATTGTTGTGCCTCTATTGTTCTTTGTTGCAGCAAAACCAGAAGTTTGGAAAAGTAGGTGGCCAACCGGCCACTTGAGGTAGCCAACCGACCACTTTCACTAGCCAGCCAGCCAGTTGAGGTGGCAAGCAGCCACTTTTTGTGGCCGATCAACCACCCACCAGTCCATTTTTGCGCAAAAATCATCCTGTTGTGGAGCAGAAATAGTGTGGAGGTTGTTTCAATGTTCAGAAACAGAGGCGAGTGCAAACAGGGGAAATGGATTTCCGAGTGAACGCCAACCGAGCATGCATGTCTCCCTCGCCCGCGAGGCCATTTTATTGCTTAATTAGTTAGCGTAGCTTATTATTCAATTTGTGTTATAATGTTTTAATTAGCATAGTATAGCTATTTGTTTCAATTCGGTTTGTAATAATTAATTAGCTAGCATAGTTAATTAGTTGGTTTGTAATAGTTAGCTTAATTAGGTAGCTTAGCTTATTCATTCGGACCCTCATTCGAGAGGGCGCAATGTTGTAATAGGCGTGCGTGTGTGTGCATGTCTTCCAACCCCACGTCTTTCTTCCTTTTATTTAACCGTTTACGATGGTTAGTTTAGGGCACGTTTCAATTAGCATACCTTATGCTTTGCATGTTTGCATCATTCATTTGTCTTGCATGCACCGGGTTCGGCGCATCATTCAAACTGCATCGTATTTTAATACTTATTTGAATACGTGTATCAAATTGTTGCATTCATATGCCATCTTAGATACCCAAGCCTATTGAGTTGCATCATTGCATGTGTTGCATTAGGCATCTTAGCATAGTTAGGATTATGTATATTTCTAACTAGCTTTTATTTTAGCTTGGAGTACACTGTAAGTGTTACGCTTTAGCATACTTGCATGAGTGTGAGTGTTGTCGTGATAGCATGCTTGCCATGAGGCTATTTGCTTAAACGATTAACTGTATGAATGCTTGTGGGTGAAGGTTTTACTGCTTGAATTGGGACAATTCATCAAATATAAGTTTTAAGCCCACTTTGCGAAGTGGCAAATCATCATGTTTTAAGCCCACTTGAGGGTGGCAAATCCGCGCTTTAGCCCACTTGAGGGTGGCACTTTCAAACCATTTTCAAAAACAAATATGAGATGTTTTGTTCCAATTCTCGTGATTTAGTCTATGCTTGTATACTGTGCGCATCACGTAGTAAGTTAGATAATAATCAGAATAAGAACACATGAGGTTTATAAAACAACATATCATGATTAGTAGAGGTCGATCCTTTGATCGGGCGAGCAGGGGTGCTCATTACATGACATTCCCCTCTCGTACCCAAGTTCCCTAGCCGAGGCAACTTTGGTGATGACAGACACGTGGCCTTTGGCACAAGTCAGGGTTTCCTAAATTTCTCAAAATAA